CAGAGCAGTTTGATATAATTGTTTTGGCTCTGCAGTACTAAGAAAAACAAGGGAAAAAAAAGTAGTAGATGTCATATCTGCCAGAATGAAATATGTTAATATTTGACTATACTCAAGAAGAACAGCTGTTGATTATAACATCTCATATTTGCATCATCACTTTTTGAGCATTAACTATATTTGAAGTTTCAGTCCTTGAAGATCTTGTTGTTTTTTTTTCCCTACTCACTATTTCTAACTTCTACCTCACTTTGACATAGTCATAAGTCTATTTTGGTTTTACGCTCAGGGACGAGTCAAGAGTCATGGAGATACTATATTGTGTGCTCTTTCTGTCATCTGTAATTTCTCTCAACATTCATCATTCTAAATCAGGCTCCAAGTTGCTACTAAATATATGCCTCTTACTGAATACATGGTTTGAACCCCTAAAGTCCTGTTCCATTAGCACAAAGGTACAGCCACATCAAGAGAAACTGCTTTATAGATCTCATACTACTTCAACATGAACTAATGCACATCTCCTCCAAACCTGAAAGCCATGCAATAATATTATTCAGTAATTCCATTATATCAACTACTGGAAAAGTAGTTTCTTAATTAACTAGTATTAACTAGTATTCTTAAGTTTCTGGTTAAGAATATGCCTGATAGTAGATACTTATAACAAGAGTGAAGCTTACACTGAGCTTTTCTTTCCCCTTCTCATCTTTCTTTATTTCTTTAGAGGACACCTATTGTATACACCAGCTTCATATCAGCCAGGTGTTGCCCCAAAAATGTCAACTACTGCTTGAGGCAGGGAGCAAATGCAATTTGGGACACACTGGTGACAGATTGACACTTGTAGTGACAATGTTTAAATTTTTAACCAGGCATGCAACAGAAAAAACATACAGTTTGAATTATTCCTGAAAAATGCACCAGCACGCTAACCTAACATCTTACAGCTGGGATATGCAATGACTGATGTGGAAACAGCAGCCCAAAAGGACAGACTGCCTTCCATGAAATATCTTAAACTAGTTTCTGAAACATTCAGTAACCATCAGGAGACTTGCTTGTTAGGTCAGAAAGGAATGCTTTAAAGCAATTCATTACTTCTATATGGAAAAATTAGTATACAAAAATATGTAAAGTATATAAAATATAGGGCCTGAATGTTTCTTTCACTACTTAATAGTTTCTCTTTCTAAATTTCTACCTATCAGTTTCTACAGATATGCCTAACGTTTTTTCAAATAAAGTTTGTATCAAATCAATTTCCAATTTATAAATTAAACATCTGAGACAAAATGTGAAGCAAAACATATTTAGTACTTTTCATAGCACTGTATGAGTAGTTTAGTACAGTCATAACAAGCAAAATTAAAAACAAACAACACAACACACAAAAACATGCCAAACTCAAATTAAAAGCGGTCTATTCCTGTACAGCTGTTTTCTACCCAACATCAACATCCTTTCGTATGTACAGTACTTACTTAAACCTAAGATGATTTTCTTTTAAGAATTAGAAATCCAATTTTATACAGATTTCTTTCTAGCAGCTCGCTACCTCCTCCTTGATTTGCATTGTATTTATAAATCTTTATACCTGTGAAAAATGCCATGCGGCCAGTTCTTAGTCTTCATTTTCTCTTGAAATGATAAAGTTTCCAGAAAAATGCTGGGTTTTTACTATCTCAGAGGGATGAACACTGCATTTAGAATGATAGATACAATCTGCATTTTCTCTTTATATGAAAGTGATGAATATATTTTTCTTGGAGTCAATGGGCTGATCTTAGCGCTATTCAAGATTTGGATGAGTATGAACCACACACTCAGAATGTAAACATTCATATCATACCTCCAGTTAACCACTGCCAGTCACCTCTGTAAGGCATTGGTCCTATGTAATGTTTAGAGAAAGCATCTATGTCTGGAAACAGGGTTATTGATACCTCAACTCTAATGAGAACTTGCTTCCTTTGAAGATTGATTCTTCATTTTACTCAATACACAAGTCTATTTCAAAGAGTCTTAAAAAATTTAAACACTGTGGTCATCAAGAATCCCAGAGCCAGGATATCATATTTATTTACCTCTCTTGTGAAACACTAACAGATAGAATAACCATTGAAAAGCAGGGAGAAGTGTCAGAAAATGAAATATGCTGCTCTCTTAGGTTATCCATTCACTCTTAGACCTCTGTTTTCTACATCTTTATTAGTTCAGTGATGGGTTCCTTGGCCAGAAATCCCCTTGTTCTTTAATACTGGTTACACAAAGCACAAAAACCACCATAACTTGCATTGGAGAATGGTGTGATATAGCTGAAGAATCTGAATGTGAATTTGTTGAGTAATACTGGTAAAATGTTATAATAATTTTCTACAGTCAGAAACATATCTATTCAGACCTTTCCCAGCTACATGATTCTGACGTTGTGCCTCGAGTTATCTCAACATGAATTAATTCATTTCAGATTCACTTTTTCATTCCATGAAGTTAAGTAAACATTTATCTACCTGCACCCACCATTTCCTGGGTATTTTGCTGTGTTATGCTTGTCAGCTAGTCACTGCAATGCATTATTCTTTTACTGCAGTGTTTCTGAGGAACACGGCTTCAAAACTGCATTGTGAAGAGGTCTGTAAGTTTCCCGTCTCTGATTGCAAACTGAAAGCAGGACTAACATAATCAAATGTCAATATATGGACTGCCAGTAGCCAAAGAGGAAAGAACCTACCACCACACAAATTCACAGAATGTAAAAATATTTCTCTCAGTCCAGCAGTAACAGCCTGTTGTTTCTGTATACATTCTCTGGTCATAGAGACAAACAATCCTCTCATTTTATCTGTGAGCAAAGTTTTCCAGTGGAAACAATATATCTAATATGAACAACAATTAGAAAAGACATCTACTGTTAAAATATTCCAGAACTGAAACACTACACAATTAGCAGTCTCACCAAAAAGGAGAAGTAGAAAATCATGGGAAATAATCCAGGCATTAACCAATCACACCACACAGCTAAAATCTAAGTGTTATGCAGCACAGTTACTCTGCAAGAAGGAAGAGAGGGTGTACCAAGAATGCACTTATTTCTTTCAGGATTATAATTCAATTTAGAAACTGAAATGATCATAAAATATACATGCTAGGGTTTCATTTTAGGTCAGAGTCATAAGTTTTAAAAGACTGGTATCCTAGATTTTAAAAACATTATCCTGAGTGATGTAGCACAGCCTCATATGGATCACTCTTAGTTTAGAAAATGTACAATTACTGATGCCAGCAAGAAGTCACACCAAGGCCAGATGAGATTAATAAGAAATCAAACTGCATGTCAGTAGCATAATAGAAACTGAAATGAATAATCAAATGGGCACAGTATTCATGCAGCCCAAGCAGGAAACTCCAAATAAATGAAAAGCACAAGGAAAATCTATCATAAGCACTTAAATCATAAAGTTGAAAAAGTTCTTTGTGTAGAATGCTGCAAATTTCATAATACCTAAAATATAAAGGGATTTCATAACTTTCACCATAGTAAAAGGCAAGAACTGAAAAAAATCACAATATATCAAGATTAGTTCAAAACTGTCAGATGTAGCAACATGGAGAATTTATTTCACATTCATTTTCTACACTTCCCAAACTTCAGAGATATTTTCAATGTCTCTCCTGGTGGAGGCAGGGCACTGTTCTAAGATATGAAGCTGTACAAACACAGCAGCATTCCCATGTTCTCAGATCTTGTTTTGCAACTCTTTCAACCATTGGTATTTTTATGGGAAGCATATATAACGAAGAAACAAAGGCTGTCATTTAAGACACCCAGCAACAACTTCAGTACCAAAGATGCTACCTTCCAGATTATCTGAAGGAATAATTTAGGGCAACTCTCTGACGTAATCAGTGACATAACTTAATATCTATCAGTACCAGGTTCATTATAAAAAATGTAACAAAAAGAAACATTTTAATTACAGTAGAGAGAAACAGCTTCCATTCCTTATTCCAGTGTTCTGCAAAGAAGAATGCCTTTTAAGCACACAGGCAAAATATCTACACATGTACCAAACTTTCGGTGTCAGAAGGGGAGATAATGTACAGCATTTAAACAGTTTACAAATGTCTGTAACCTGAAAATTCCCATATCATTTGCATCAGCGGCAGGCCAACAATGCATATCAACACAAAGTGTAAGTTGATCAATTTCTAGTAAAAGTAAGTATTCAGTATACCTATCCTGCATGGAAATAAGACTTAAGTCCCATTTAAGTATGCTCAGTAGAGTGTATTTAGGTTTAAGAAAAAAAAAAGACCTAGGCAAAAAATTTTGCATATCTTATTAATACATTTTTAAGCAGTTTACATTCATTTTACACTCCTGTCCATAAACGATTCACTGTTTTAGGACATTGTGTTAAAAATAACATTGACATAGGAAATTCATATGCGCTTTTCAATTATTTTAATGTTTATGATTAGGACTGCAAAGGAGATTGTAGCCAGTTTTCAAACTACCAAAATATCTCCTAAGACCCTACACCTTAGCTGACAAGAACAGGAAGGCAGGGATCTTGATAGGTCTCTGAAACAAGTACGAAGATCCTCATCAAAGAGTGGAACACGTAAGAAATGTACGTGCAGAAGTGAGCACTGCACTGAGTAGAATTTAGGCCATCCAAAACCAGCATTTGTTTTCTCTATTTGCACAACTCAGAGGATGAAATTCTATGGCCTACTTGTACATAAGATTGAAAAAGATGACTCTAATGGCCTGTTTTGGACTTCAATCCATGTGGCTGATTTTCCTTTAGGCTATGCTTTCCTGCTGCTTTGGCAATAAGTAGTCTATATTTAGCCATGCTTAAAAGCATTTTTCCACTACTACAACAGAGCAAAGGGGTTTCAGGGTAAACACAATTCACATTCTGCACAGATTTAAAAGTTTAAAGCCTTTTTTTTTATTATTATTTTTTTTCCCAGGGAAACTCCTTTACCTCTTTTTCCATTTGAATTCCTTCTGCCCTGATATTTCTTTCAAATACTTCCCTCTTTTCTGTCTGTGGATTGGATTTTCTGTAAACAAGGATGTAGTCAATCCGACATTTTCCATCTCTAAAATACAGTCCATTGGCTTTGTTTTTATCAGGTACTTCCTGTAAAGAGAAATTCAAACAATTCAGTAATGCTAATTTGCTTTGGTAGTTGTTGCATCAGCGTTTACATCAAGTTTTCAGTAATACTCAATAGGAAAGATAAGGAATTGTAACAAGACATCCAAGTTTTCATGTACTTTACATACAGTGCCCCTGAGGTTGTCTGAAAGAAGTACAAATTTCCCCATTTCAAAACCAGGAGGTCTTCTTTGGTAGATGTTTGGCCATATAGATATGAGATAGGAGAGAACAGAGAATGCAAGTCAACTTTCCCACTACCCTCTAGAAAATTGGGAATAACGTTTTACATTAAAAAAAGAGCAGAAAATAGTGTAAGTAAAAACTGAATATAAAAGAACTTAGTATAGTGGAATGTCTAAGTACACCTGAGAAGAATTATGAATGGCTTGAACATTAACTGTACAGAGAAACATTATATTTGGTGTGAAGTTTCTCCTTGCTTTGTGATTACAGTAGTACCTTTGCTTCACAGGACACAGTCTTGTGCCTTCCTCACTCATAACTCAGAATGTTCTTGGCTTATGGAAAAGCTGAGGCAATCCACTAGATTTATTTGAACATAATTTCCAGTGTTTGGTCTAGTGATACATAAAAGCAGTAAGTACTATTTCTTGATTATTTCCATCAAAGAATGTGCCTGTTCAAATTTTTGCTCAGAGAGAAAGAAAACGTTGTTAACAAGAGGTCAAGTGGGTCCTTCTAATGAGATCCAAGAGGCAAACTGCTGGTCTGTTTTAGAAATTCACGAGATGAAGTCCTCTGAAGCTTCTCCTCACAACTAAACACTACTTCCACATAGCACAAATTCTGCCTAAGGATTAAATTTGCTCTGTAATATATGATCTAATCCCCAGGAAAAAAAATTAAACTGCCTTTCACTTATGGGAGAAGTAGGGAATTTTCAGTATACTTTCAATTAGAACTGCTTTTTTAACTTCAGTTACAAAAAAAAGTGTTAATAATACTGATAGGCCAATTGATTCTTACAAAAAAAAAAAAAAAGAAAAAAGAAAAGAAAAAATCCAATTCAAGTTGTTAAATGTAAACTTACTACCTGATTCTCAGTCAGCATTTTCTTTAAATGGAAAAAACAATGAAAGCATCCTAAATGTACCATCCTCTTGGTACACCCAGTTTACTAAAAGAAGAAAGGAGAAATCTTCTAAGATTCCTTCACTGCAGTGCCTGCCTGACTCCTGACACAGCTTAATACAGGCTTGATATAGTGGGAGCTGTTCCTTAAGGTGAAAATGAAGGCAAGAAAAAAGACATAAGCCCTAAGGAAATAACAGTAATAAACCATTTATATCTATACTGCATATAATGCTGACAAATGATAATATCATGATATCAGAAGTATTTTTCACAGCATATTAAAAATGAAAACAGCTCAGGAAACACAGTCATTTTTTTTCCTATAAACGATGTTGAGAAGACATGAAAAACCAAGCAGAGCATATAAATAAAAGAACAATGCAGCAGAAGATTCAGAAGCAGTGGGCCAGCTTAGTGGTTCTGCTCTGGTTTCTAAGCCTCCTGCTGTTCTTCCAGTTCTGCACGTCCTATAGACACCGTGTGTATTTTAGCATATGAAGCAGTGCAATGGGGATGTATCCATAGAGTAGAGAACAATCTGTGCTGAGGGCCTGCTGTACACACCGTGTAGGATTGAGGGTTTACTTTGGGCCCACTCCAGTGTTGTTCCAGAGACTCTCTAGCTGATATCAGCTCAAGTATATCTCTCTCTCAATTTATTTGCATCCAGGAAAGATCCAGGTTTGAAATCTGGGACTGCTCCACAGTGCAATCCAAAGCATAAGTAGGGCCTATTGAGAGATTCACAGATTACACTCCTGATTGGAACTAAAATGGTAATACAGACTAGCTCAGACTTCAACGCAAGGAATGTATCTTTCTCCACAAGGGACAGTGAATCCATTGGAAAAACAGATTTGCCCTCTGGCTTCCTATGTTTCACTTTTCTCTGAAGAAAATTCATTTAGCCTACACTCACTCATCAGTGCATGTAGAAACTTATGTTAAGGGATGCCTAAGAGATTTAGATAAGTTATTTATCCTGTAGGACTTATTTCTCAATAAATATGACTGCCTGAGACAATTACTTTCTCTCTGACCTGTGAAACCATCCCAACTCCAGTATTGTCATTTTTCTTCCAGAAGGGTAGCTTTGACAACATCGCCACGTGGAAGTAGTTTTCATTTTAGAAATTCTGTATGAGAAATTCAGAGTGATAAACTCTAGTAGACTGGTATGGGCTCTAAGAAGGTACACTTACTGTCTCCCTGTTATACCCTGTAAGGAGGATTTATAGACCAAACTTGTTACAAGAACTCTGAGGGTGTAAATGTCTTACATGATATGGAGACACTCAAATTAGCTTGTCAGTGTCAGGAAACAGCAGCTGCAGGGCTTTTTGCACCAGCCTCAGCATTCTAGATTTGCACTATTCCAGACAGAGACTTTTCTGCCACCTTGGTATTCATGCTTTCCAGACATTGCCTCTCCTTTCAATCTGTCATGACTTCAAAATTCACTTTTCCTTTAAAAAAAAAACCACAAAAAACAAACATAAATCTAGTACTAAGTTTTACTGCAGTTTTTGGTGGAAAAGTTGTCTAGATAGGTACACACCTATCTCCATTCCTTTGTCTGAAAAAGGATACCAGAAGAAACTGGCAGAATGGAAAATACTTCATTTTAGCAATAAACTTAGCATTTCTGGCTATCTAAAGTTGTGTAACTGGGAATTCTTTTCCAAAGAATACACCAGTTTTCTTATCCTTAGACCCTCAATGGCAGCCATCAACATTCATAGGCATATGACTCATATACATATACATGTTAGGAGGACTTTTGCCTAAGAACTTATCCTAAGTATCTCATTACTTCAAATCAGATAATTTGAAACCCTACCAACCATAGAGACTTTAAATGGAACTTCATAATCAAAAGTGCCGATAGGAAAATCAAGGGAATTCAAACTTTTATCTGCAAGTCTTCTGAAAAAATAAACCAGAATGGACCCCAGCGTTCACTAATTTAAGGACAGATTAGATTTTGTCTCCATTCCTGCTTCCTTTGGTACTTAGTTATTATCAATATGAATGCTCAATAAACATACGATCATAGAATTTTGAGGAGATCACCTTTTCCTGCTGTTTGTGGCTACTTGAAATTACAGTCCACTGCATAAAAATTACCAACTGGGAGAGATGGCTAATACTTGTGATAACCTGTGTGGAAAAAGAATCCAGCAGCACCCATCTTTTAGAATACAGTTCTGATCAAAGGAGAGAATTTCCTGTATGGGAGAGTAAGTTCTTTTTCATAATGCCATTTTGACCCCTTAAATTACAGTTTTGCGTAGGATGCCAGTGTATTTTTCCATTTATCTACACTGGTCAGCATATTCATTTTGACACCATATATTTAATTATATGGAGCTTTTTCTAGTAATGAAATTATGTGGGCTGCAAAACAAAGTGCCTAAAAGTTAAAAAGGAACATATTTGTAGTTTTCTGTGAAAGCTTAGATAGTGTTGTTCTAGATCCTGGTCACTGAAGAAGACAGGAATTTGATGGGAAAAAAAATGTAGTTAACATGTACTGAGTTAAATACAAGAAAATTAAGCTGAAACTGCACAGAGTATCAGAGGTGCCATAAAGAACATCAGAGTTCTTATGTGCAATATGAATAACTTTTTTTCTGCCATAATAGTGCAAGTTCCAATTTATACAAAAGATTGTTAAAACAAACACTGTTCTGCACAATGTCAGTAACACTAAACCCAAATATCGTTAGAATTTGAGTTTAAAGTGAAGAGTGTATGGGTGACTTTTACAGTTTTAATTTCAAAACTACTTATATCAGCTGGAATCTCAAGAATATATACGTTATTTTAAGTAGAAATCAATTTTTTTACCAGTTTCATCATTCCAACTTCCTTGAACACAGAAGGCTAATTTAATACTCTATAGAAGGAAAGGCAGAATAGATGTAGAACTGAAGTGTAGATCTTAAACCATTTTCTCCTTCTTTCAATTGCAATTCTAATTCTCAGAAAATGAAGCTTCAATCATAACAAAGTTTCAAAATTCTAGTCACAGTATGTCCCAAGATTTAGATTTGTAACTGTACACCTAGTACCTACTGTTCTCTGATCAATGCACAAAGAAAAACATGATTTTTAGTTTGCTCAGACCTCATCTCTGTCTGAATGAAACAAAACAAAATAATGACACATCTTTAGCCAAAGGGCATGCTGAATCCTTATCTAGCTCTACATCTTTGATGGTACTGTTGATAAAGCTTTATCCATAAACTCTTGAAGGGATTTTCTGGTTAAGCATGAGCAACAGACAACTGAAGCAAGCAGTATTCCAACTTGTCAGCTAAGCAAACTGATAAGAAAACTTTGTGTTCTTTTTTTTTTTTTTTTTTTCTCTAAGGTTTTTGGATTATACATTCATTTTCATGGATTGAAATAAGAACATCTGAAAAATGTACAATTTCCTTTTGGAAATCTGGGGACTCCATGGACTTCAAAACTTTTCTTTTCTTCCTTACTCTCTCTCTTTTTATTTATTTTTTTTTTTATTTTATTTATTTATTTTTATTTATTTATTTTTTTTTTGGTAGGCTAAGACATTCCTCTTTTTTTTTTTTTTTTCTCTTATACATATAATTGACATATTCAGCTATTTTTCTCAGTTATAGTTATAGAATAAATAAATAAATAAACCTATTCAACTAGGAAAGTTTTCAGACATTTCCCCTTTCCCCTTAAAAAACCAAAAAAGTATACATCGAACAGGTGAAAAAAGGTTTTGCCGTTAAATTAACAGCAGCATATATTGTTCTCTCTCATCACTTTTCTTTACAATCATTTTTTGCTCACTTTTCCTCTTTAATATGCAAAAGTTGTTTGCCTTTCAACCCTGCCCTTTAGTTAGAGACTACATGGTACACGATCACAAAAAGCTACACATAAATACAATGTCAGGTTACTGTATTATAATTCAAGCAGGTGAAGAGGGCCCTTTGTAGGTTGTAGGGGAGGCTGTGAAAGAGCAATGAGGGAAGGGGAAGATGAAATTCTGAGCAAGGTCAAACATATCTCTGATGGAATGAATTTTGTCACTCTAATTATCTGTCTAAACATTCTAGGAGCGTAGCTCTCTGTGGGCTGAATTTCTAGTACAAGAAAAATTGCTCCATCAAATAGTCTTACTGTGCTCTCTGTATCAGTTGTAGTTTCCATGGAAATAAATAGGATGTTGTCACACCCCCTAAGCAGGCAAAAGGAAGTCTTAGAGCCAGGGATGAGTCCATGGTCTCCTCACTCCCTGAGGTAGGCACAGCATTCATAGGCAGTTAGAACAGTTAAAGGATATCACATTCCCTTCTGTTCAACAGACACAGAAAGGCCAAATTTTCATGCTTGAGCCCACAGTGCTTTGCCTGTATTATGACATAATTTAAAAGGGACTATGTGCTGAACAATGATTCCTCATTGGTATGTTCTCTGAATCAACATTACGCATCATCAAGTCTGTTCTGCTCTTTAGTTGATTGGAAATTGTTGTTTATTTGACACCTAGTACCTTTCGTGAGATTTATAAGTGCTCCTCCTTCATTCATACTCCAGATGGATTAATATAAGGCAAATCTTGTTTGTAGAAAATGAGATTTTGAATGAAATCACATTTATTCCCTTTTTATAGCGGACGTTATTTTAATAATTTTCTGTGTTCTTACCTCTCCCACCACTTCCAACCTGCTGGCATCATCAGAAGTACTGGTCAAGTTACCATGGTGAAGCAGGGAATCATCATCTTTGGAAGGGCTGTTCACACCTTCTAGCTCATCAAAAAAAATGTTGACATCCTTAGCTACTAAAAAACAAAGATAAAAACATATGTTCAAATACATTCGAGCCAAATGAAGATGAGTGTAACACATTATCAGTTATCCTGCTTTTTAGTTCTGGTGTATCTATGATGTTAAGTTTAAAATCTCCTGATGAGCAGTGGTGAAGATTTAGGATATTGTAATATCTCTCTGATCTTAAATAAGTAATCATCTGTCACAATAAAACATTTGTTAGCCATTTCCTTGGATTCTCTTGGGATAAGTGGCTTAAAGGATTGCTTTCTTTATCACAGCCACAAAAAGTTGCTTTCAATGAGGAAGGTACTTTTGAACTACTGCACAAAATATCAAGTTAGAAATTGTACAGACCTGTGACAGAAGATCTTGAAGTACTGCTACTTGAAAGACACCGATTATATGAATCTGGGCTAATCATAACTTTCACAAAATTTAGCATCTTTTGACATATATAACGCTAACACATTCAGATCTACTGACTGCCCAGCCTTCAGTCATGCTACATTAAACCCAGTTAAATAAAAATCAAGGACCACATTCCCCTGTTTTGGGGGCCTGTCAGACACTGGTGTACACGGAGAGAGACCCCAGACAGTGCTTAGGGTAGCCCTGCTTGCTCACCCCAGGTCAATGTCTGACACTGATGCCCCTCACTGGGCCTAATCTTGATCCCCAATCTGCAGATTAAAGTCCCGGCCTGGCCTCAGCCCATCTCCAGATTGGTGCCCAAAGCATGGGGTTGCAGTTGTCCCAAAGCTCCTGGCTGCTCTGCTCCCACTTGAGTGGTGGGGTAGGCCTTAGCTATGGGACCCTGCCCTGATAATCCAATGGGGAGTCCCCATGGAGCAGTCAGCTCACACCATGTGTGACTGAATACAACAACTTGAGTAACTGAGTTTAATTTCTTCCAACTTTTATGCAATGTTGTGTCATGATAATTTTGTAGTAATTAAAATAAAAGCTGTGGAAGACTTTGAATGCGTTAAATGCTGGCATTGTACTCAAAGTTAGAGTCAGAAGACAATGGGAAGCTGTGGGCAGAGTGGCTTTGCACTTCTACAGCACCACATAAAGGCCATTGGCTTCAGAGACTGAGGGGCTGCTGGACAGAAGACATGACAATGGCAGACGTGGGGCAGGTAGACCCCCAGCCCTTTTGCTTCTCTGCTGTTCCCCTAAGTAGGTGACAGTTGTCATTACTGTTGATGTGCATTTATATTAACAGGTAACAGACAAAAATCTCTAATTGCTAATGGCAACTTTACTCCATTTTTAACTCCTGGCTGTAGGTGTAAAAACACATTCTTCCACTGTGGAGAGAGTGAATAGCTGCCAGAAATTAAAGGACAGCAACTGTTCCCCAGCCATCATAAGTGCTATGTGACCTCCTTTCCACCCTTCCCTTCTTCAGAGATTGTTTTTTCTTAAATCTCCAATGCAACATACTCTGTAGATTACCTGTTCTTTACTATCCCAAGCCAGGGAAAGATTTCTTCATGTCTTGGACATGCATCTATGCTACAGTTTATATATATTCTATGCTACAGTTTATATATATTATTATTTTACTGTCCATTGTGAGCATTGCTGCCCTTTTGCACTTGCCTTGTATAGTATCTAAAGTCTGTTATTACAACTATGGGTAGATTAAAAAAAAAAAAAAGGACCCTATTGAAAGCTTCATGAATTCTTCATTTGCACAAACACAATAAGGACAATGTTGACAACACACCTTGTATTTTACATCACAGTACTTTAGCTTATGAGGCCACTAATAATTTCAGCAGCAACAGAAAGGTACACACATCCAAATAATCCACACTACATACAAACCTAATGAACCAACATGAACACCATAATTTTTAATTGAAATTCAGAATTTCTAATGCTTTTATGAGTGTATTCTGCATTTAGGCAGTACAACAGGAAATTTTGTGCCAGATTAAATGTCTTTAGGATAACATACTAATCCTCAAGTTTAGCAATTTTGGAGTTGGATACTCTACCTCATAAGATAATAATCTAGATGTAGATCACCACCAGTTTATGCACAAATGTTCAAATGAGAAGAATACTAAACATAAAGAACTACTGGAACAAAAAAAACAAAAACACTTGGAATGATTTCAAACTTCACTGAAGTGAAATCCAGAAATGCACCTCCAAAATGTATATGATCAACACCTTAGCATAGTCTGAAAACGATTGTGAGAAAAACAAACCCATAAATATAATCAAATAGGGAAGCTCTCAGAGGATTATGAGAGATGTATATCTGCTGCAGACAGGAGCAATGAAGGATGAAGAAATGAAAGTAATTTTGCTTTCTGTTATCCTAAGTAGCTGCTTTTCCTGCTACGAAGACTGCCCTGATATAACTGACAAGACTTTTGAGATACTAGAATTGCTGTTTCCTGGAGTGCCAATAATGAATGCTCGGACTTGCAAAGCAGATGTTTTTAAGTGGGTGTCTGAGATACACAAACTGGTGTGAAGGAGGGCAAATATGTTTGGAAGTTTCAAACAGAATTGCTGGATTATTTTCAGGTTTTGTGAGGAAATCAAGATCTCATTTCAAGGTTATTTTAAAATCCAGCCCAACTCAGTAAGGACTATAAATTGTGGAAACTGCGAACCTCAGCTGGCTGGGGAAACTAGCTACAAAGACCTGTCTGGACTGCCAGTAATGGGAAACCAGTTATATCAATAGTACACATGGAATTGTTGGTTGGAAGCTTCAACAAACAGGCTAAATAGTGAAGAGAAGTTCTGAACTACCTTGTCTGTGATCCAGGTGCCTATGACCCTCTTCCAGTCACAGAAAGTTATGCTACTGCTGAGAACGTGGAGATCTTTATATTTCAGTTGCCTTGCTGTTTTTATTTTTGAAGATACACTCCTATTATTTCAGTCACTGGTACTAAACATGGGACTGAAACATTTGCAAAGAACATTTTTCTACTCCAAATCTCATTGGATAATAAACAATGTTATTTAATAAAATATTGTACCACAAATGTCAATAAATAATTTAAAAACTCACAAATCTTATTTTCTCCACTTTAATAATGGTGATGATACTTCCAGTGCAACTCTTGTGTTGGCTTTGCCTAACTCAGCTATTCTACAGCAATGAATAAGAGCACTCACTCCTACACTGCTGCTAAAGGCATTATCAGGGCTCCACTTTCTCTGTTCCCTTCAGACTATGATAAATACATATACCATCAAATGCTCTTAACAGAATGTTATCTAATAATTTTATTATTTATATGCTTTTGACCGTTCATTTGAGAAGCAGACTGGTACTGGTATATGGTGATATCTTTTTAGGCAATGAAATTTAACAGCAGTGCAGAGCAGCACATACACTGCTACAGCAGATATCAAGAACTCCCCTCTATGGTTTTAGATTCGCTTCATTATGCATGTTCATTTTTCCTCCTCATGTTCCACTTTGTGGGAAGAAAAAAAAAATAAAAATCAGTGAGTTGAAAATTCAGAATCCCTTGAGGAATTAAAAAAATGTGTGAATACAAATCATTTTAACAGCAATGTAGCAGAATCACATATTTTGGAAACTGAACTCTAGGAAATTCTAAGCAAGAATCCCTGTGAAATCTCAGTGGTTTCACAAGCCTCTCTGGATTGAGAGCACTCAAAAGTTACACCCTTACTCTCCTGAAGACAGACACTCAAAATTCAAGGTGCCTAAAAATAAGAAATGAAAGTTGACTCTATGAATTACTGAGGCAATATAGAAGTATAGTCAGAGATGATGTCTTTGTTAATTAACAGCTTTATTACTGATTGTCACACTTTGCCACCACGTATACTTTAGCTTTGGGGAATGCAAGTTATAAATCAATATCGCAGAAGGTGCTTTTTAGAGGCTTTTAGGCCTATCAGATAGCACTGAAGAGTGAATTTCTTAAAAAATTATTCACAGCAATATTTATAATATGTTTAGAGCATTTTTACATGAACATGGTGGTGAAAATGGTTGATTTTAAAATTTCCAGTATTGGAAAATAGTTCCTAATAAAAAACTTGAGTACAAAACACCTATTTTGCAGAGAATTGCAAAGCTTGACCAAGACTCCTGCATCTTGTTGTACTACAGGTTATCTTTTTGCATCTTTCTATTGGATTTTTATATACAAGCATTTTCCTGCAGTCAGTGAGCCTGGCAGATACAAATGCTTCTGCAAGGAGGGAATGCTAGAGCTACTGCAGCCCAGAACTTTTTGAAATGCTAAATTCTGTGATTATGCAGTGATCATAGTTACCATGTCTCAAGAAAGTCACAGATTTCTGACTTCCAGACTAGGAGGAAAAATGAGACAATCAAATGATTTATTTATTTATATTAACCCTGGCAGGAGTCAATGCAAACTGGAAAGCCAGAGATATTTTAATTTTGATTTTACTGCAATGGCAGTGGAAAGAACCAAATCACAGGAATTCATGAAAAGAGCTTTGAAATCAGAACTTTTTTTTTTTTTTTTTTTTTAAACAGAACTATTTACCACTTTTCAGTAAGACATCCAACTTCTCAGAATAATAACTGGGAAAAAGCCATGAAAGCCTTTGCCAACTTTTGTCAGGGCACCCCTAGGCATGCCTACCCTTGGCCAGACCCCCAGGGCTCCCCCACCTGCTCCAGCCTCATGTCCCCACATCTCCCCGAGGCCAATCAGCCCCTGTCCAAGCCAGACCACATCAGGGCTGGGGTCCAGCTCCCCACAGCCCTGCCCTGTTCAGCCATGCCACCTGCCCAGCTGGGCCCACCTGCAGGCCCACAGTCTGACCTTGACCCAGGATGCAGAACAGGTGCATCATCCCCTTTGGCAGTTTTACACCCAATGCAATCCTCTACTTTATAGTGCATATTTATAGCCATTTGAAGATAAGTAATGATTGTTTCTTGACAGCCTCTTATAGACTACTGATAATTTCTGAATATACTGCTGTCGAGAGGAAACTGTGAAACACTGTTTAAGAC